AATGAGAAAACATTACTAATACACTTCATTACCGATCGGGCCTTCAGTACCGACTCCGACGAACATAAAAAAAAAGAAAAAAAAAAACGAATTTAGTAAAACGGTACATATTTTTCCACAAAAAGTACCACTTCTTCTTCTATGCACTACCAGTTACTGATAAATTAATATCTATTTTGTAAAAAGAACGAAAAATAGATTACTTCTTATTTGATAAACATTTTCAAAATTAGTACCAGACCTGGAGTAAGATAGTACCAATTTTATGGTGTTTTAGTACCAAATATCGGGTTATTAGTATCAACTATGACGAACATAAAAGAACACCGAATTTCGGTCTCAAATGATGTGTATATGACCCATTATCACTCTTGAGATTTAAAATGTGTTTAATTAACTTTAATAGCAAATTGGTCACGAACTCAAAACACGAATGAAAAAACACTACTATTACATTTCATCTCATTAAAAGACACACTTCATTTCACTGAATGATCATACATGACTACTCCAAATTCTAATTATATGTTTTAACTTCCACTATTTCTCAACCAATCACGCGTGAACAATCCACGTGGCATGGTAGACATGGAGGATTAAAGAAATCACGATTACTAAACTGGTACCAGATTTGACAAAAATAATACCGCTTTTTTTTCTGCGTAGTACCTGTTTTTAATCAATTAGTACCTACTTTTGATTAGCGAAAATGGATTACTTCAGTTTTGATCAACATTTGCAAAAATTGGTACCAAACCTAGAGTAAGATAGTACCAACTTTTGGTGTTTTAGTACCAGATATTGGATCTTTAGTACCAACTCCGACGAACATAAAAAAACACCGAATTTTGGTCTTAATTGATGTTTATATAACTCATTATCACTCTCACATTAGTTTTTATGAGATTTGAAATATGTTTAATTAAGTTTAATCGTAAATTGGTCACGAATTCAACACACTAATGAAAAAACACTATACACTTCATCTCATTAAAAGACACACTTCATCTCATTGAATGATCATACATTACTATTCCAAATTTTACCTATATGTTTTAACTTCCACTATTTCTCAACTAAACCCCGCGTGAACGATCCACGTGGCATGGGGGGAAAATTTCATTGTAGGGCTTGGCTTTTTGTTACTGTGTCACAATAAGCCCTAAATTTTATTTAAATATTTTAAGGTTTCAATTTTATGTTATTCTCAATAAGAGGCCTACTTTTACATTCTAATTTTCAATTTAAGACTCCCTATCAATTTGTATTTTGATATTATTAAATATAAACAACAATACTTTTTTGAAAATCTATAATTTTAAGTACTTATAATTAAAATATGAAATATCTTTAGTAAAATTATCTAATAAGATAATTATTTCATAATTTACGTTTATACAAAAACTTAATGAAATTTATTTTAAAAGTTAAAAAATCAATATTAACTTAATTTTAATCTAAATATGTGATAACATTAAAATATAAACTATTTAGAAAATTAGTTTTATTTTTTGTAAATAAACTTATAGAACATATTATTTGTGAATAACACTGCCTACAATAGAATTTTTTGGGTATTAACTTTATATATTCTTAACTTTTTCAAAAATATAAATTATATTCACAAACAATATTTTCTAAAATTTTATTTAAAAAAGAATTATTTTTCTAAATAGTTTATATTTTAATGTTATCACATATTTAGATTAAAATGAAATTAAAATTTATTTTTTATCTTTAAAGTTTTAACTTTCTAACTTTCAAAAATTTTAAATTTTTAACTTTCATCAAATAAATATTTAAAATTTTAGTCCTTGGTGCACGGGATTTCACAATAAATAATATAATCTCGCCTTAACGATCATTTATATTGAAATTATATTCCTTTTAGTGTTTTAAAATGTTTATAACGTAATTCGTCGCGTTTTGCCTCTTATACTATGCAGCGTAACTAAAAAATCGTGTTGCGTAAGCTATTAGAGTATAAAATTTTGTTTGTTAGAAATATGATATATTTGCATATAATAAAATTGGGTTGTTGATTTTAAAAAATATTTTAGTAATATTATATGGCACTAATTTTTAGAATAAAATAATGTGAGTATTATGATTAATAAAATGAGGGCGGTTTTATTTTGGCATGAAATGTCCAAATGTAAATGATATGAATTTCATTTCGTATGGATAGAATTGCAATTAGTTTTGAAAATAAAATAAGTAGTATGAATTTTGTTTGGTATGGGTATGAAAGTCGAATATTAGGTAGATTTGTTATAAAATCAAGATGATATAATTCTCAATTTTTAGCATATTCCTATAATATCTTGTCATAAGATAATTCATACACTATTTTAGGCATATTCCTACATATACATGTTCGGTTTTAGACTTGAGAATTACCATAAACTATTTCAATTTTTTTTTTTCACAAGTTACCATATACTGCTCTTACTCTTTCTTATTTAATTCATATAATAATTATTATAATAAATATGTATTCTTTTTATTTCTAAATCTTTATAATTTTTTTATTTTTATTTTATTTTTGTATGTTAAAATAATCATATTTTAATGATCTTCCATTTGACATGCATATTGCATATATAAAATAGAAAATAACTACATCTATCAATATAAATAAAACTATATTTATTAAAAAAATAATTTCAACAATATGAATACAACATAAATTATTCTATAACAAAAATAATAAAAAAATCTAATTTAGTAATACACCATAAAATAATCATTTTAATGCGTTTTATCATAGATTATAAAATTAAGTGCAAAAATACGAACCTTATTTTTGAATTAATTATTAGTTTGTTAGTTATTCATAATTTTTATATATTAATTAAACATAATTTTACAATATCAAAATAAATTATTTTAGTTTTTCTATTATACAAATATTAATATATTTACGTACCCGTGTAGTACACATGTATCGTACTAGTTGATATATATTTCTCTTGAAAATTAGATAGATTTTTTAATAAATAATTTTTAATTAAATTTAAATTATATAATTTAATTTTAGAAAATTAGTTGATAAATTTGAACGACATAAAATATAGATTTATAGATTTAGTATAATATAAATTTATATGAAATAAAGATTAGTAACATATAAGTTTTTTAATTTGGACAATTTGTACAAAAATAAATTTATACTAATTAATAAAAAATTAAGAAAAATTAGTAGTATGAGAGATAAATAGTAAAAGATGACAAAAAGAAAATAATAAAAAATATGTGGAGAAAGAAAGAAAGAAAAATAATAAAAAATTAGAAAAGTTAGTAGTGGAGATTAAGGGAAAAATTAAGGAGGTAGAAAATCTAGAGGAAAAAAATTAGAATGAGGACTGAGGAGGAAGTTGAAAAGTGATTTAGGGATCTATAAATATATAAAAAGAATAACCTTTTTTTAATAATAGAAAGTCAAACCTTTAGTCAAAATGTTTTAGCATTTATTACTTTCTATAAGTAGCAATTTATTGCATTATTTCCTTAATTCTAGCTTGCAACATTAAATCCACTTGCAACAATAAATCCAATATGCTTTTGGTTTAAATTTAAACTTTATGTTCAAAATACATTAAATTCGATTGTTCTCTTAATTCACGCTTGGAAAAATAATCCGTTTGCAACAATAAATCCGATAGGCTTTTGTTTTAAATAATCCGTTAAAATCGTTTACAATCTCCACAAAATATCATCATCTGTATTAAGCTTTTTAATATTGTTTGTTATCAGTAAAAAAAAAAAAAATCTATCAAATTTTGTTCGGCTGTTGATTCAATGACCATAAATTTGGATTCCTATTAGGAATAAAATTGTTAATTTCCAAATACAACATACAAAAAGTAATAATAATAATAATTAATTTGGCTTTTGGCCATACACCATTAAAGATCGGACTGCACAAAAAATCTCATTAACGCATACCCGCCTAAAAAATCTCAAGGTAATCTATCGGCTTTTGGTTCTATACACCAGTAAAGATCGGACTATACAAAAAATCTCATTAATGCATATCCATCTAAAAAATCACATGTAATTTTACAGAATACATCGCTCGATAAATTTAAAAAATCTCATCTCTTATGTATTTATTCTAACAGATTTTTAAAAAATAATTATAACATATTTTTTTTTCTTAGAAAAGTTAATTCACTCTAAAGTCTAATTGCTAATATAAATCTTGATCTACGGTAAGAATTTTTTTAAAAAGTTAATTTTCACCTATCTAAATCCTAATATTTTTCAAATATTATTAACATTTATAATATTAGAGATATTTTAAACATTATCTGGACATAGATTAAGGAGCTATATATATATATATATATATATATATATATATATATATATGGAGGATATATACATATATTATTTGCATCTTGGTCTTTTTCTAAAGAAACTTGTCTTTAGTCATGACCAATTATATGTTGTTGTTTCGCGTGTAACTAATAGAAGGGGGTTGAAGATATTAGTTTGTGAGAATGACGAGTTGTCCAATAATCAAACTCATAATGTTGAAGATATTAGTTTGTGAAAATGACGAGTTGTCCAATAATCAAACTCATAATGTTGTGTACAATGAGGTGTAGTCAAGATTCATGGCGATTGGTTGTAGAAAAAGCATCCATGATCCAACCCAAAATAGTCTTTGGGAAGCTTCACCCAAACAAACGAAGCAAAGCGAAGTGAAGTCAAAGATAATATATGATTGTTTCTTTGTCCAATACTATCTTATTGTACAATTTTCCTATGTATTATAAAATTTTTATTTAATATTGCATCTTATAATATAATATTCCGTAAATGAATATATCCCGTGCCTCGCACGAGTCACGTACAATATATATCTCGTATATATTTTTTTATTCATGTATATAATTATAAGCCTAGATAAATAGCCTTAATTGTGCATCCCATGCATCGCACGGGTTCTGCACTAGTTTTTAAAGATCCCCATAACTTAATGAATCATAATTGATAGAGTGAGCTTTATTTTTCTTCTTTCATAGAGAAAGAAATTCAAACAAGGCTACAACAGAGTTACAGAAACACCTTAAATACTCCAAACATTTACCATGTTAGGTTAATATATTAGGTTTCTCCTCTCACGAAAAAGATCCTTACCCCCTTTTTTCTTTTTCCATTTTGCCCCACCAAGTGAAACTTGCGTGGAAAATCAATAGGGGCAAAACCCAATCTACAACATATATATGGCAAAAACCCGATCCAAACCCGTGATACTTGAAGTCCACACCAACCACCACACATCTACTTCAAGCCTTCATCATTCATGCCATGCCCCTCTCTGTCATTTTCCACTTCATACATTCCCTCTCAACAAGTTATCCCATAATAATTTGCCCTAAAACACCCCATTTAGTAAACCAAACCAATAAAAAAAAAAACCCCAAAACCTAATAAAACCACACACACAAACCAAATTTAAAAAACCCAACAAAAAGAAAATAAAAAACGTAGGCTATATGAATCATCATAAAGACCTATGCTCAAGAAATATTAACACTATTAGTCCTTTGCCTCTTAACACTTGACTCCTCCCCTCCCCCCCTCTCCACAACTGCCTTGAGCGCTTCCTCAATCGAGCTCACGCGCACCGGCTGCGGCTGATCACTGCCCTCTTCCCCAGTCACAAACAGAACGTTCTTCACACGACCGCCAAGTGTCGTGATCTCGGCCTTGAGAGTCTTTAGCCTGAGGCCTTTGAGGGCCTTGATTAGGTCCGGAAGGAGGTCCGGACGGTCCTCGCAGCATATGGAGGCTCGGATGAGATCCTCCGTGGTGCTGTCCACCGTAACTTCGTCGGTCTCTGTGGGGACAGCGCTTGTCTCGGATATGAGGGATGTTTGCCTCTTCAGCTCCTTCACGTGCTGGATAACCTCAGCTAGCAACGAAGCCTTGTCCGTCTGTTTATAAATAGTAATTGTTTGTGAAATGAATTAATTAATGAATTTTGTTGGGAAAAAAGAGTGTTTTTGGACATATGTTTTTTTTTTGTTTGGTTTTAAATGTTAATGGTGAGATGTTTGTTTTTGCGACAAGTCTTTAGGCTAGGTAGGGAGAGAGGAATAATAATGTAGGACTGACAAGAATGCTTCTTTGTCTGTCTTTT